TTGTGGAAACGTTTTTGACTTGATGCCGAATGAGTAAACACCATGGAGGCCCTAAATGTGTTGGCTTTTGTATTTGGGTTTATGTTTTAGCTACTCTTATCTATCCTCATCCCAGCCGCCAGCGTAAGGGAGGGTGTTGGTGGAAGGTAGGCCTTAGGGAAGGGACTGCTTGCTATACATCACCAGTTAGAAAAGGTATAAGTATTAACTTAAGTTCTGCCCTTATCTGTTCCTTAACTCTAAATTAGGCTCTTTGTCTTGGGGCCAGGCTCAACTGTAACTCTTGTGTTCTTAACCCCTTTTATTACCTAAGTCTTGGATCTACAAGGCCCATAGGAAGAGCCTTTTGACAATCATCCACAGTGCTTTCATCTAAAATCTCATTTGAAGAGGCAGGAATAAGCTTTTCCTTATGAGGTATCTGTTTGGGGAATATCGGTCTGATTTGGAATATTGTGAGGCCTGGTCATTTCCAACATGAGCCAGTAGTAGAAGAAGGAGATACCAGAATTTCATTTCTCATGGCAGGAGCTATGCAAACGCTGCCATTTCCTTGCTGTGACTGTCGTCCAGCGAGGCCAGTGTGGCTCCCAGCAGACAGGTATCCTTATAAGAGATAGAAGAGAAAAAGAGAGAGGGAAATATGGGGTGAAAGCCATGTAAAGAGGAAGAGGAGGAAAAGATAGAGAGGAGCATAAATAGAGGAGTGTTAGTCAAAGGAGAAGGGGTTCCAAAGGAAAAGGGGGTAAGTGATATTGTTAGTGACAGAAATTCAAATACAAGGCAACTAGTTAAGAAAGGTTCCTTGCAAAAAAGAAAATCTAAACAAATGGTAAATTTAAATTTGTCTTGCATAACTGAATCCCTAATGAAACATCTGTGCAAGAATTGCATTTAGTATCATATAATGAACTCATAGCACTGACAGTACTGCCTTTCGTAGATGCATCTGAATAGGATACACGTTGCTCTTTCAAGAAACACCACCTGAATGTTCCTTACAAACAAGGAGTGAGAAATAAAAGACACTTCATTTCTATACTGTGCATACCTATTCACATTATATTGTACTACCACAGTCTCTGAGGGAAGAACACCTCTGGCAGGCTGTGGGTTAGGTAAACACCCACTAAATATTGATGCCTGCATAATTAGAACGACTAAAATAATCCTGGCATAAAATTACCCTAGCAGTTAGACGAGAGACAAAATGAAGTAATTTGATCATGAAAATTAATACAAGTCGACTCTCAGTTTTCAATGCAGCTAATTGGAAAACATTTATTATTCAAACCTCGCTTTTCCTTCTGCTTTGTACTCTTTTCTCCTTGCCCTGAAAAAGAGGAAAGTGGAAGTGGAGTCAGGGTGGCAAAGCCATCATATTGAGATGGTGGAAAGGAGAATTATGCTTATTTCTCTAAGGCAATGGCCCCTCAACTTTCACCTTTATCCGTTTTGCCAACTGTGACACGCTTCTGTGGGCATGTTCAGCATGATGGGCCATCCTGCCCTCTCCTACTCAAACAACACTGCAATTACAATGACACTGACATTATTGTAGGTGAATCTGTTTTTAGTAACAGTTGTATTGAGATATCTAATTTACATATCATAAAATCCACCCATTTAAAGGATACAAGTCAATGGCTTTTAGTTTTCGCAGAACTGTGCAGCCATCACCATGTTCCATCACCGCAGAAAGGAGCACTGTACCCATGAGCAGTCACTCCCCATTTCACCCCAAACCTCCCAGCTGCTGGCAACCACCAACCGGCTTTCTGTCTCTATAGATTTGCCTATGGACATTTCACATAAATGAAATCATGTGGTATGTGGTCTTTTGTGGCTGGTGTCTGAAACTGGCGTAAAAACACGAGCATAATGTTTTCTAGGTCGATCCATGCTGTAGCTCATATCAATACAGACGGCCCCTGACTCCAGACTTACAGGGCTTTGACTTTTGATTTTTCAACTTTCCGATGGTGACAAAGCCATGGGCCTTCCATAGAAACCACGCTTTGAATTGGGAATTGGGCATTGGGATCTTTTCCCAGGCTACCGGTATTTGGATGATCCTCTCTCTTGATGCCAGGCAGCAGCAGGAGCCAAAATTCTCAGTCAACCACGTGATCACAAGGGTGAACAACCGAGGCACAACCATCTGTCCCCATACAAGAGTTCTGTTTGTCAGTTTCAGTACAGTATTTGACAAATTACACAAGATGCTCAATACTATTATAAAATAGGCTTTGTGTGAGATGATCTTGCCCAACTAGAGGCTAACATAAGTATTTGGAGCACATTTAAGGGAGGTGAGGCTAAGCTGTCATGTTCGGCAGGTTAGGTGTATTAAATGCAGTTTCGACTTTCGATACTCTCTCTCAACTTACAATGGCTTTATCAGGACATAACCCCACTGCAAGTCCAGAAAGACCTGTACTTGGTCACTTTTCACAGCTGAATAATATTCTATTCACATGGTTGCACCACATTTTATTTATCCATTCACCCACTGATGAATATTTGGATTACTTCTTTGTTGGCGTGATCATGAATAATGCAGATATGAAAATTCCCATCCAAGTTTTACACATGTAGTCTTGAGGATGATCTATAACAAGAGCACCTAACATTGCCCAGGAGGGGTCTGGGGGTGACACAGATCTCACCTCATTTCATCAGTTCAGGACTCTTCTGTGCAGAGCCAGGTTTCAGATCTCCACTGCTCTGACTCTAATGTCTGTTTCTTACCTTCTTGTTATACTGTCTCTAAGCCTAAAAACTAGCAAGGTGAGTTAGTCATTACTTCATACTTACTACTATACTACAGGTGAGACATGCGTTATGACACCTCCTAGCTGATCACCACACATACTGTCTGAAAACCACCACCCCTGAAAGTATGGCCTCCTGGAGAAATGATCTGAAGGGGCAGAAGGACACCCTCAAAGTGTATCAGTGTTTTCAGGTGCTACAGTTTCCTGAAACCATAGCAAAGCTCTGAGGAAGCTCCTGTAACAGTCAAGAGACTGTTCTCTGAGAAATTCTGAGAAAAGGGTGGAATATGGGGGTCTGGATCATGCCCTCTCCCACCTGCAGACTTCTTCCATCTTGTTGTGGCCTCCTGGACAGTCCCAATGTAGACAAAGGTCTTTCCCTTCAGATTGATTGGTCTGAGTGGTACCCAGAACCGTGTCTCCCTTTTCCTCTCCACACAGATGTGGCCAGCACCTCTTTATTCCTCAGACGTGGCATTCAATCCTAACTCTATGCTTTTGCCCTGTAATTTCTTCCCCCGGAATGTTCCTTTCTTCTCCTTGGGCCACCGCCTACTGATTTCTTAGGGCTCATGTCACAAGCCACTTCAGGAGCTGTGCCCAAGGGAATCGATGGGGTTGGAGAGAAATCCACTCCTCAGCAACCTCCATATGGAGCACCCTTAAAAAGCACAGCACTGGGGCTCCTGGACGGTTCGGTCGGTTAAGCATCTGACTTCGGCTCAGGTCATGATCTCCTGGGTTAAGAGTTTGGGCCCCACTTCGGGCTGTCTGCTGTCAGCTCAGAGCCCACTTTAGAAAATTCTCCCTGCCCCTCACTCGTGCATGCTCTCTTTCAAAAATAAGTAAACATAAAAAAAAATTTAGGGGAGTCTGGGTGGCTCAGACAGTTAAGCGTCCGACTTCAGCTCAGGTCATGATCTCATGGTTCATGAACTCGAGCCCCATGTCGGGCTCTGTGCTGACAGCTTAGAACCTGGAGCCTGCTTTGAATTCTGTGTCTCCCTCTCTCTCTGCCCCTTCCCTGTTCATGCTCTCTCTCTCTCTCTCTGTCTCTCTGTCTCTCTCAAAAATCAATAAACATTAAAACTTTTCAAAAACAATTTTAAAAAATGTGAAGCACGGCACTACAGGATTCTGGTGTGTAGCAGATGCTACTGGTGTCTTGCTGCCATTCCCTCACACCTGGAACTGGGGATGAAAATAAGGTAAACCAGGGACACAGGAAAACATACAGACATACATAAATCTGGAAACTCGGAGCTAGAGAGTTAAAAAGACATCTGGGGAGTGAATATTCAGTAGTTTCACGGAGCCTCGTCCATCATCCATCCACCCATCATCCATCCACCCATCATCCATTATCCATCTATCCATCCAAGCAATACTGAGATGAGCACCCCCTTTATCAGGCACTGTGCTCAGCACTGTGGGTTCACAAAGACAGAGGCGGAAGTCTAAAAGCAGACAGTGGAGGTGGGAAGAGCAGTAGGTGTGACCCTGACAGGGCTCCCACGAGGCTGGAACAATCGGGTTGGGACCTGAGGGAGATTCCTGGCGTGAACCCCCTGGCCCAGCCCAGTGAGGATGGTCCAGAGAACCGCACACCATAGAGATGCCGAGACCTCCCGCCTTCCTAGAGAGGCCCGGAAGTGGCTTCGGGCGGCCCGGTCCGACGGCTCCGGCGCGGAGCGGGGGCGGCGGCAGGCTGGCAGGCAGGGCCGGGGCCGTCATACTTCTCGCGGCCTGCGTGCGCTGCCCTCTCCCCCCCGCCGCTGTGAGTGGGCCCCGGGCCGGGGTCGGGAGGGCCGCCGCCGCTCCGCGGGGACCCGGGGCCGAGCCGGCTGTAGGCGACGCGGCCCCAGCCCGCGCGCGGCGGCGTCCGGGTGGGACGAGCCGGGCGGCTGGTAGTAGGGGCGCGGGAGTGAGTGTCGCCCACCTCGGTGATGGGAACGTCCTTCCCTTTCCAGCGCTCCCTCGGATTCCGAGGAGCCGGGCGCAGCGGGGCTTTCTAGAATGTCTCGAAGACGTCCCACGCTTGTCTAGGCGCTGGGGTTTTCCTTTCTTCGTGTGTGTGTGTGTGTGTGTGTGTGTGTGTGTGTGTGTGTAACAGCTGACCTGACCCCCGCGCTGGGGTTTTCCTTTCTTCGTGTGTGTGTGTGTGTGTGTGTGTGTGTGTGTGTGTGTGTTTAACAGCTGACCTGACCCCCGGGCATCCGTATCTTGCTAGACTTGATCATTAGCTGTCATTTCGCAGTTCCTAGAAATATTACCTTCCAAAAGGACAGACGGTTCTGCTTTCCCAGGTAAAGTGGGACTGTGAGGCTCCCACTTAAAATGGATGAATTTCTTGTAAAAGGGTAAATAGATTTAAAGAAAACATAATAAGTAATAGCAGAGGTACCGGCCTTGTCTCCACATGGGAGGTGGGGGGCGACACACGTGGTGAAGACCCCTGGCTGGGGAGTCCTGCAAAGCCTGGCTTCACGAGCTAGGTCTAGCCAGGTACAACCTGCATAGGGTTTTTATTTTTCTTCTACCAGCTTTATTGAGATAATTGACCTAACACTGTAAATTTCAGGTTTGCAACGTGATGATTTGTTATACTGTGAAATAACCACAATAAAGTGTGTTAACATCTTAGACACCTCACATGATTAGTTTTGGGGGGTGTGTGCTGAGAACTTTAAAGAACTACTCTTAGCAACTTTCAGGTATATGATACAGTGTTGTTGACTGTAGTCACGTATATCGCTGAATACTAGATCCCCAGAACTCTCTCTTATTGTTGGAAATTTGTACCAACGTCTCCTCATTTCTTCCACCCCCCCAGTCTCCGGTAACCACTGTGCTGCTCTCTGTTAGGAATGTATCGACTTTCCAATTCATGCTATGTCCTCAGTTAATTTTCTTTGCAAATGTGTTTGGCCTTTTAGGTTGCATACCTCCCATCCCCTTCACCTATATCAGGGTTACTCTCCTTTAAAAACATCTTTATTGCTTTGACTGCATTATATTAACACAAATAATTTTTAGATCATGCATGGAATTTGAAGAGCACCATTTCTAAACCCTGTAGCCTCAGTGTGATTTCCTGATCTCAACCCAGTACGAACACAATTACCTTTTGCCCCTAGGCAGTACCTGGGCAGTAAGTTAAAACACACCATCCCAGGGTTAAACTACTTGGAGTTATTTTAATCGTCCTTAAAGCAGTCTTCAATTCTATCTGTGCTGGACTCCAGTAGCACCTAGATTTGTATATTACATTATAATACCAGAGGGTTAGTAACGTCATCATCTTGAACTCACGGGATGAAGGAACTGTGTTCATAATCTAAGGTTCTTATTACTGATCCTTAGCATTTAATTAGGTCTTTGTAAATCTACGGTACCGGTAGTCATTTTTATGAGTTTTCTCATAAGTTCCCTGTGAGATGTCAACTTTATTACCCTCACTTCATCTTAGTATTATCAAGAGGTCAGGTGGATTTAAATTTCATTTTTTCCTGTTTTGTAATTAAGATTCCTTTTTCTGGATCATGTACTTAACTTTAACCCATATCTCATAGAACGACTGCTCAGGTCAGATGTGACCTTTCCCCCCTCCACCGAGAGGAAAGCAATTACTAAGCCGGGTTTTGAAAGAGCCTTAAAGCAATTGTGATTATAAACATTGGCCTGAGTGCCCAGCCCCAGGAGGAATCAGATGGTAACTAATTAATAAAACAGAAGCCATGAAGAATATAAACATCAGGCAGCTAGTTGAAGAAAAATTGTATACGCTGCTTTTCCCTTCTGGCTTAGTGTTCTTGGAAGTTTGTTGCAGTTTTCTGGGAAATATGTTTACTGCGTTGGTTTTTGTTTTGTTTTGTTTTGTTTTGTTTTTTGTTTTTCTGTGCTTACTGATGTAGGGAGCCTGGGAGGGAGGAGGCGGTTCCGGGTGGTGGGTGATGTTAATGGCTGGTGATCTGTGAAGGTTTTACCCACCTGGAGGATAGGCTTCTTTTTCTCGCTGCCCTTTGCCTTGCTCCATCATTACTTTGCCCTTACTCATTGCCACCTTTCTCCTCTGACCCTCCTGATCTGTTGTACAAGTTCTCGCCTCAGATCCTTGTGGAAGATGAGGAGGAGGAGCATGACTAGACCTGACAGGTCCTCTGCGGCATGAATAATGTGCACTTGCACATCCCCGGCGTGGTTAATGTGCACACGAGCCATGACCGGCCTGTGGTCCTGTGACTGGCCTGGAGTGGCCGGTTTTAAAAACAAAGAATAATTAATTAAGAGATTAGGGAGAATTTCTCTTGGAATGTTCTTATTGGACTCTGAGACCTGGTCCGTTTTCTGAATCCCTCAGAGGGGATTCCTTGTGGAGATACTAAGAATATCTTGGGGCGCCTTGGTGCTTCGGTCAGTTGAGTGTCCTCCTGCAGCTCAGGTCATGATCTTACAGTTCGTTTGAGCTCCATGTCGGGCTCTGCTAACAGCTTGGAGCCTGGAGCTTGGAGCTTTGGATTCTTTGTCTCCCGCTCTCTCTGTCCCCCCCCCCCCAAAAAAAATAATTCATAAACATTAAGAAAAAAAAGAATAACTTAAACTTTGTTATCTGGCATCCTAGTAATCAAAACTCTATTAACCACACAGAACGTTTCCAAAACCTGTGTGTGCTGCTGGGGTTAATGACGGCGCGCCCTCAGACTCTGCCTGGGCGCTGCCCACTGCGGCCTCAGTTGCTCCCAGGCACCTGTCTTGATTTCAGCTGGCACCCTGGCATTGCGTCCTCACTGATAAGCCTCTAGCACAGCCTCATCACCTCTTACCCAGACTCCTACCAGTTTCCAGGCTATTCCTTGGCCGGCCGTGCCTTTCCCAATCTTGAGATCCTCCGGGAAGTGTTTGACCTTTCACAAGGACCAAATGATGCATGGCTGCTCAGTGAACTTACTTAGGCTTTCAATTGTCTGCAGAATAGAATTCAGGTTCCACTTCAGGAACTCAGAGGTGTCTCCAAGCTGACCCCAGGCCATCTTTCCCGCCCGAGTCGCCAGCTACGGGCTTTGGCTTCAGTTTCACTTTGCACGCCAGCTGCCGTGGACCCACCGTGCCCAACACAGGCTTTCCTGTCGCTGTTCTGTTCGTTCATGATGCTCCGTCAGCCTGTCCTAACCCCTTGCCTCGTCCCAGCACGCCTCGGTCTGCTTGTAGGCATGATTCGGTTTTGATCCCACTTCTCAGTGAAGGCTTCTCTGAAGTGCTTTCCAAAATCAGTTTCTCTCCACACCCAGCGCTCCCACGGCACCTTGCTCACTTACGCCTGACAGCAATCTTGTTTTCTCCTTTTTGGCTTGTAGTTTAGATATTTCCAAAAGCCTCACTCCATCATAAGTTCCAGAATGCAGGAATTCTGTCTCATTTAGCTTCGTGTTGTTTTCATTCCATAACCCAGATTTTTTTGTAAGCTTATTTATTTACTTAGAGAGAGAATCCCAAGCAGGCTCCACACTGTCAGCACAGAGCCGGATGCGGGGCTCCGACTCAGGAATCGAGAGGTCATGACCTGAGCCGAAATTTGGAGTCAGATGCTTCACCTGCTGAGCCACCCAAGCGTCCCCCAAAATTTCTTAGGAGAGAAGTTAAATGAAAATGGCGGTGTTCAAAAAAAAGAAAGAAAGAAAATGCCAGTGTTCTCTGACATGCATGGTGATGACTCTTAGTGTTCAAAATCATCTGTAAATTCAACAAATATTTGTTGAACACCTGCCACGTTCTAGGTTCTGGTAAAGACATGTCAGTGGAAACGGCGGAAGGCCTCAGTTCTCATGGAACTCACATTCTGTTGGAAGGAGAGCAATAGTTTGTTAAAAAAAAAAAAAAAAAAAAGGTAGATAATTTTAGGTGATGAAACATGCCACGAAGAAACACGGCAGTGTTTAATGCAAGAGGCGCCCCCTTAGGACAGTCAGAGAAGCATCTCTCTGAGCAAGTGACATTTAAGCAGACCTCAAGATTGGGCAAGGCATGGCCGGCCAAGGAACAGCACTTCCCACTAAGGTGAAATAGAAGGTGTGGGCAGACCTCAAGTCCAGTGGGCGGAGGGCAGAATGCCAGTGGCAGGAAAGTGCCAGCTGAAGTCAGGGAGGGAGATTGCAGCCACGTCACGGAGACAAAGGGAAGAAGTCTGGGTTGAAACATCAGTGACCGACACGCACTGTGTTTAGAAGCAGCCTCTGTAGCTGTCACACCAGCTGCTCTCTCTCTGCGTGGTGGACGGGTTAGCTTTCCTGGCAATCTCACGTACTTAGTATGGTTACCCAGAAGAACTCGTCAAGAACGCTGTGCTTGTGAGAGCTGTGACCTTGGTATGTGGAAAAATAATGGAACAGCTAATCCCCCGACAATTAGCGCTTCAAGAAAAGGAAATGTGAGAAATGACGTCATGGAGTGTGTGTCCTCTGCCGGGCATTTTGCTGAGTCTTCATAAGCCTGCAAGATCATTATCAGCTCCCGTTTTTTGATGCCCCAGTAGGCTCGGAGGGATCAATAACATTGTTGCGTCTCTTTCTTACAGGTACAGTGAGCTCCTGACAGCCACCTATGGACCCCAAAAAATCTCCAAAAGAAACGGTCCTTATTACAGGCGGAGGTGGCTATTTTGGTTTCCGGTCAGTGCATTGATAAAACAACGTCCGTGGAATTATTTTATTGGTAGTTGCTGGAAAAAACTACAGCTTTCAACTCTGACATGAATACAGTGTAGACTTCTACTCGTTTGAATGGTGTTAAACCAGAAATGAACTAGGTTGCCCACTGCTCAGACATTGAAATTCAGAACTACAGATATATTCTACTTTAAGAAAAATTCTTTGTAAAGGCATTAACTTGGGGAGGGGGAGATGATGCACCCACCCAAAACGTTTTAAAATAATAGTTATTTTTAAAATGTTTATTTATTTATTTTTGAAAGATGGTCAGAGAGCGAGCAGGGGAGGGACTCAGAGAGAGAGAGAGAGAGAGAGAGAGAGAGAGAGAGAATCTCTAACAGGCTCCACGCTGTCAGCACAGAGCCCAGTGCTGGGCTTGAACCCACAAACCATGAGCTCACAACCTGAACCGAAACCAGGAGGCAGATGCTCAAGTGCCTGAGCCACCCAGGTACCCCAAAATAATAAGTTATTCTTTCGCAGCTCTGTTATCATTCATAAATATCCCAAAGAATGGATGGTGGGTTCTAGAACAGAAGGGAAAAATGAAACCTGTAGATGCCACCATCCAAATGAGAAGATAAAGCAAGGAGATGTGTGGATCCTCAGTTTTGAATATTTGTGCGCTTACAATAAGTAATTGTTGCACAATGAACATGTAAAGTGAGGGGACTCAGGATAAGCCCAGAAGATGTGGATCAGCCCCACATTGATTGGTAAATTATTTTATGCATGTTTTGTCAGGCATAGCTTAGTCACAATTCATCCCAACTTCCTGTTCCTCATTTCAGCCTAGGCTGTGCTCTGAACCAGAAAGGATTCCATGTGATTCTATTTGACATCAGCAGCCCTGCTCATTCCATGCCAGAAGGAGTCAGGTTTATACACGGAGACATCCGCCACCTCTGTGACGTGGAGAAAGCCTTCCAGGATGCAGACATCACGTGTGTGTTCCATATCGCCTCTTACGGCATGTCGGGGCGGGAGCAGCTGAACCGCAGCCTGATTGAAGAAGTCAACGTCCGGGGCACAGAGCACATCCTCCAGGTTTGCAGGAGGAGGGGGGTGCCAAGGTTAGTTTACACTAGCACTTTCAATGTCATCTTTGGAGGTCAAGTTATCAGAAACGGAGATGAATCTCTGCCTTACCTACCTCTTCACCTCCATCCTGATCACTACTCCCGGACCAAATCTATCGCGGAGAAGAAAGTGCTGGAGGCCAATGGCACCACCCTGGTAAGAAGGGACGGTGTTTTGAGAACCTGTGCTCTGAGGCCGGCTGGCATCTATGGGCCCGGAGAACAAAGGCACCTTCCCAGGATAGTGAGCTACATTGAGAGGGGTCTGTTCCAGTTTGTGTACGGGGATCCCGGGAGCCTGGTTGAATTTGTCCACGTGGATAACTTGGTCCAGGCTCACATTCTGGCCTCAGAGGCCCTGACAGCTGCCAAGGGCCACGTTGCCTCTGGGCAGCCCTACTTCATTTCGGACGGCAGACCCGTGAACAACTTCGAGTTCCTCCGGCCGCTGGTTGAGGGTCTGGGCTACAGGTTCCCATCCATCCGCCTGCCGTTGACCCTCATCTACTGTTTTGCTTTCCTGACAGAAATGGCTCACTTCATTTTAGGCCGAGTCTACAACTTCCAGCCCTTCCTCACCCGCACAGAAGTTTACAAAACTGGCGTCACACACTACTTTAGTCTAGAGAAGGCCAAGAAGGAGCTGGGCTATGAGGCTCAGCCATTTGACCTCCAGGAAGTAGTCGCCTGGTTTAAAGCCCATGGTCATGGCAGGGGGCCTGGGGGTCATGACTCTGGTCTTGTTTGGGATGGGCTGATGGTCTTCCTCTTGGCCATAGTGGTTCTCATATGGCTGCCTTCTCCTGTGGCTCTGTCACTCTGAAGGAGCTAGAAACATGGAGCTGATCATGCTTGCTGAGATGGTTCTCATAAAACACAGGTTTGATTTATCTTGATCTAAATATATCTATATCAATATCTGGATAGACAGATACAAATAGATATCTGGTAGCAAAATTTGGCTCCGCAAATTGCTACTTATGAATAGATTCTTGGAGGGGCTCTTGGGTGACTTAGTCCACTCTTAATCTCAGCTCAGGTCGTGATCTCACGGTTTGTGAGATTGAGCAGCAGGGAGACTGCTTGGGACTGTCTCCTTCTCTCTCTCAGCACTCCCCCCCAATAAATACATAAACTTAAAGAAAAAGAATAGATTCTTGGATGAAGTCTTTATTTCTTACCTTCTTGCACTAAACCATGATAGGAGAAAAAAAGAAGCAAAGATAAATTTGAGAGAGAGTTTCTTGTGTCTTTCTCCTTTTGATGGGTACAATATAAGTCATTTTGGAGTCAGAGAGCTCCAGATGAAGAAGATTGGAAATGTCTTGAGTTTCTCAGAAGCCAAAAATGTACTTATTTCTGTCCCGTTCTGTCTCTATCCACTTAAAATAGACTAAAATGCGCACTGATACAGGAGTGGCAAAACACTAACAGGCTTGAAAGTGTGTGAAAAACACCAAACTGGGTCAGATCCCTACAGCCCAACCCTCTTGAGGAAGTGGTAGCTTTTGAGAAGCATTAGCTGTTCATTCCTGTAGTTTTTAGGAATTGCTTTTTGCTCTATATGATATAGGGGTGTTACACCTTTGTGACCACATGGTAAAGTTTGATTTTTAAACAAATAGAAGTTGGCTTAAAAGCAGCTATCAATTAAGAAAGCGTGTTCAAGCTCAACAATTAAAACATCTTGGGGCTCCCGGGTGGCTCAGTTGGATATGCATCCGACTTCGGCTCAGGTCATGATCTCATGGTTCGTGGGTTTGAGCCCCGCATCAGGCTCTGTGCTGATAGCTCAGATCCTGGATCCAGCTTGCAATTCTGTGTATCCCTCTCTCTTTCTCTGCCCCTCTTCCACTCATACTCTGTCTCTCTCTCTCTCAAAAGTAAATAAACATTAAAACAATCAAAAAAACAATTAAAACATCTTAATACTTTATACTTTGTCTTACCTCATAGGACTCTTTTAAGGATTAAATTAGACAAGATATATAAAGTGCCACTCAATGCACACAAGTCATTATTATAATTAATATTGTTGCTATACATTCCTTATGAGGGTTTTCTTCCTCAAGAGAGTTCTGTTCAGTGGGTGCTATTGCTATTAATCTTTCTGGAATGTCCTTGTGGAAAGCCCCTCAGAGCCTGTAACAGGCACGTTTGCATCTGCTCAGTGTTTGTAAAGTTTTGGTCTCTGAGCATAGATTAACTTTTAGGAAACAGCTAAAACTCTGATTAAGGAAGATGATCAAGCTAATGATGCTATTTGTAATTTAAAAATGAAACATAACTCTGAACTAATAGACTGGTTTTCTTCTGGGAAGAGGTGTGGTACTCTGAAGGCAATTTCCAGTGAGGAATTTTTTTTTTAATGTTTTTATTTTATTTCTAGGAGAGAGAGACAGCATGAGCAGGGGAGGGTCAGAGAGAGAGGAAGTCACAGACTCCGAAACAGGCTCCAGGCCCTGAGCTGGCAGCACAGAGCCCGATGCGGGGCTCGAACCCACGAACCACGAGATCATGACCTAAGCGAAAGTCGGATGCTTAACCGACTAAGCCACCCAGGCGCCCCCAGTGAGGAACGTTTTGAACAGTGTTGTTATTGTCCAGCCATTCTTGAGGACAGCTGGGGAAGACATTCAAGTTGTACAGTTGCGTAGGAACCAACGTGGAGAGAAGACATGATTCCAGTTTCAGAGAAGCCAATATTAAGGCATAAGGCAGAGAGATTGCTGCAGAAGGTTGTGTTCAAGTCGTCTTGAGATTATTTGTAGAAAGAAGATGCTAGATGAATAGTCCCTGGTAAATGCTGCCTGGATGTTTTGGGAAAAAGTACCCAGTCTGCTACCAGGAAACCTGCAACCATGAATATTTTGTGTGGCCTTTACCAAGCGATTGAAGCCTGTTTCCTCACTTGGGAAATAGGAATGACCTGTATTTGCCTTTTCTACAAACCCACCCACCCACCTCACAGGGTTTGTTGTGAGCATAAGATGTTGTGAAAGTACTTTCATATATAAATTAAAACACAAATATGAGGTGGTGGTAGTGAGCATTTTTGGTAAAGTGTTTTCGGAGTCTTTTCTGTTTTAAGAAGCTTTTGCTTCAGGCTAGAGTTAACTTGTATGAGCACCTACATCAAGTCCAGGAGCTGCAGGGTGGGCTTCCGTGCTCACTTACATCCCCCTAACGGCAGGGTGTGCCCACCCAAGAAGGCCACGGATAGAGTGGATACGTTCAGTAAAACACCTATCCAGTGTCCTCGAAAGGCATCACAGACTTTCAAAACATGTTTTCAATGAAGTCCTTGAAAAGAATGATAGACACTTCTTAGTTTTCTTACGGCAAGTAGACTGAGTCTACAGTGAGATGTTTTCTTGTTTTCCACATGAAACTCGGGATGGATATACGGGCCATATTGTCACCCAGGGATGAGACATTGGCTATCCCACAACACTTGATACCGTCGTCCACTTTCCCCTTGAAACAGTCCATTTACTGCTCATGAACTCACTCTTGGTCTTTCCCCTTGTGTTAATTATCTGTTGTGTCACATGCTGCAAGTTACACTAAAATGTATCTTGTGAACAAAGTACCCCTAAGACGTATCATCTTAAAACAACAAACATTACCTCCTGGTTTTTATGGGTCAGGTGTTTCGGTGCAACCCAACTGCACAGGTCTTGCTTTGGGTCCCTCATGAGGGTCATCCAGTGATATCTGGCACAACAGTCATCTGGAGGATCTGCTCCAGGATGGCTCACCGCATGACTGTTGGCAGGAGGCTCGATTGCTCACCATGTGGGCATCTCCGTAGGACTGCGCGAATGTCTTCTTGACATGGTAGCTGGTTTCCCCCAGAGCAGGTGATTCAAGAGAGCAGGGTCAAAGCTGCAATGGCTTTTAGGGCTTATGCTCAAACATCACACGCTGGCACTCCACGGTATCCTGGTTACACAGGTCAGTCTAATTCAGTGTGGGAAGGAAGGAAGTACCCCAAGGTGTGAATAGCAGAAGGCTGGGCGCTTGGCTCTATCCTCTGAGTCATTTTTCCTTGCAGTGAAAGGTAGCCCATATAGACACTTACATAGTGTTCTCAGCCTGTTACCACCCAGGAGAACTTGGGGGGGGGGGGTTCAAAGCCCTCTTTACATTTTATAGTATATCTCTTTCAGTCAAAGCTGCTAATGTTAATGCAAATACAATTATTTTTGAACTCTGTGTGTCTCCTGTGAGTCTTACTCCATTCTATTAGGCAAAAGCCACACCCACATATTTCTTGGAGATAAGTCCTTCTTCTCTACCTTGGGCTTCTGCTCAGACTGCTGAGGGACAATAATCATTATCTGAACAAGTTTTTAGAGACCATCTTAGGTCTCTCTGAAGTCTTAAAAGGTTTTATAGCCACAACTTCAGTTGTCTACACTCATTTCCACAATCCTGCATTGGCCACCCAGGTTAGCCCTATTCCACGTGGGAGGAGACTACCCAGCACATAAAGACCACGGGGTAGAGAATCACTGGGGTTCATGTTGTAGCCTGCTATCACACTCCTCCATCTCATCGGTTTCCTTATTCTCTCCTCCACACCGGTTGTAAGTGGAATATTTCTTCAGTTCAGTCCTAGACCCACTTCTAAGACCCTACTTTCTCCCAAAGTCATCTTGTCCAAGCCCCTGGCTTTCATTTCCATCTCTGTTCCAAATATATATCACTAAATAGAGTTCCATCCAAGACCATTCTGAGCTCCAGACCCATCTATCCAAATACCTCTGCCTCTCTGCCTGGATACTTCACATGCATTCTCAGTCTGCATATCCAAGATGAATTCACAATCCTTCCAGATTCTTACAGGGTTTCTTTCTTAGTAAATGTCACCGGGACCCATTGAAATTCTTATGCCAGAAATCTGGGATACTCTTTGATCCCTGCCTCCCCTTAACTTGACACACCTGACCCACCTTGAAGCCCATCAGTTTTAACTTTTGGTCATGCCTCAAAGTTGTGCAGTGAACAGGTGTTACCTCTCTCCCCTGGGCTCCAATAATACCCCTTTTCTCTTCCACTACATCCCCTCCTGCCTTCCTTCCATCCATTCCGCACAAGTGGACTGATCCTATAAAGGTGTGAGTCTATGTCAGGGCGTCTGGGTGGCTCAGTCGGTTAAGCATCCAACTCTTGATCTTGACTCAGGTCACGATCTCATAGATCGTGGATTTGAGCCCTGCATCAGGCTCTGCACTGAGAGTTTGGAGCCTGCTTGTGATTCTCTCTCTCTCTCTCTCTCTCTCTCTCTCTCTCCCTCCCTCCCCCTCCCTATCTCTCTGCCCCTGCCTTGTTCTCTTCCTCTCTCAAAATAAATAAAATAAATTTTAAAAAATGTAATCTAGTTCACTTCCCTGCTCAAAACTCCCTTTAAGTTTAGGCTGAACATCGTTAGTGGGAGCCCAAGGCTTTGCCCGATCTGGCCCCCTGCTTACTGCTTCAAGGTCATCTCTCAGCATACTCCCTTCTCTCCCTTCTCTACAGAAGTTGTACCAGCTTTTTGCAATTTTCAGGGTTCCAGGCTTCTCGCACCCCTCCCCCTCACTTTGGGTCTAATGTTTGTTTCATGTCTCAGCTTCAAGTCCCTTCTTCCAGAGGCCTCCTTCCATGATCGCAACGGCTTAGTTGTGGTCTTCCTGCTACAAATTCTTACAGCCCTTGCCTCTCTTTTACAGCCTCTATCACAACTGTAATAATAGTTGGTGCAATTCTTTGTCTTGCACCCATCAACTCCATGAGGGCAGGAGCTTTGTCTTGCTGCTGTATCCCTAACACCTCGCACAAAACAAGATTTCGAGAAGTATTTCTGAATGAGCACTGTTTTTCCTTCTAAGAGTGAACACTCCTTTCTGGCGCATACATTAGTGTTTCTGATCTGCTGACTGGGAAAAAATAGCCAACCTCCTAGCATTGTGTGTTATCTGAGTCAGGATGAGATGGAGTCTAGTAAGTGGGGTCAGGACACCTGTGATGTGGTGGAGCTGCGGTGTGCCATAAG